AGCAGCGCTTACAGAGACGCGAAAGGTTGCATGGGGAAGAATGCAAGGATACGCACAAAGAGGGATCTAAGTGTTGCATAAGGATTAATGCAAGGTTACGCACAAGAACGAGTCTCAGTGTTGCATAAGGATGATTGCAAGGTTGCGCATGAAGAAGGACCCAAGGGAGTACGTACTAAGGGGGGGGAGAATGTCACAGGAAAGAGGGTAGCCGGGGAGAATGGAGTATTCTCAGGTAGGCTAGGAGGGGAGCTTAAACACGACGCTGAGGAGGACATAAAGGACAGGAGCCGTCGTAGGCAGCTTAGCTTCCTAAGGAAAAATTATCAATTCCTATTGAGTTAACGTCTTTCAAGTACTTCTGATGTCATGGTGAGACATTTTGGGACCAGAGCCTAAGCATAATGCCTGAGGATAAAATTCACGGAACAGGTTTTTCGACTCACCCTCAACACTTGCACTTATATGGTGAGACTAGATAATGCGCCAACTGGAATTGATATGGTTGAGGTCACAGTTTGAGTCATGATGGGAAATTACAACAGTCTTAGTTGAATTACGTTAGATAGTTATTTGTACTTTAGGAAGCTGGAGCTACAACAAACTAGTTCTCCAGCTTCACAATCTTATAATATTATTACAGTATTCCTTTCGCAAACCCGCTTCCTTCTAGCCATAGTACTTCGTCGACTTCCCACCTCTATAGTATTCACCACTTGACCATTTCATACCCTCGGCGAACGGCGATCTCGATTAACCCTATAGCACGCCATAACATCTGAATTCTTTAAACCCTTTACACAATAGCCCTCCTTGCTCGCCATCGTTCACCTTTGGGGCCATTCGCTAACTGAGGATGCTATTTGAAGCACTCCCTGTTCTTATGCCGATGGTTGCATCGCCTGCATTCGGCCTCCGGATCTAATCTCTCCGTAGGTTCACGCGTGGCAAATACCCGATTGGGTGGTAGCGGCGGAGCGGCTTTGGGCGGAGGATCGACTGTTCTGTTACCACTAGCAATCCTGATGGTCGACATTAACGACTCCAAAGTAGCGTACGAATTTTGATCCGTACATGCTCGCATATCCCTCTAATTGGTTAGCCAAGGGACATGCCTAGTACACTGGACGAATGTTGCCGCCGCCAGCCCTCTCGGCACATGGTACTCTGTGCCCGTGGTGGCATGCAGAGTCTCTGCCGCGTCATTCAAGCCTTGAAGATTTGCTAGGAACTTGTTAATGTAGTCGTCGGCATGCGACTCAAACTTCGTCCTAAGGAATTCTTCGAGGGCTAATGCGTAAGGCGCTGTGGCAGTCTCTCTGCGCGAGTCGATGATTGACTGGTAGAGTTGGTGTGCAGTGATACGGTCGTGGTTGCGCGGTCGCATGGTTGGGTTGAGTCGGCCCAGAATAATGTTTTTCGCCCTAATCTCACCCAGTGTACAGGTCTCGACGGCAGTGGCATAGGCGTCCAGTCCTGGGAGGTAATCTGCAGAATCGATCTCATCTGTTGGGGCAGCTGGTCTGTGAATGGGCCGGATTCCCTCGAACTGGTGGTAGACGTGACCGATAACGCCTTCTTTGGCTAACTTTGCTTGGAGGTCGTTTATCCACTCGTCGAGGGAGACTCCTGGTGACAGGACGATTCTGGTGGAGCTGGATGAAGATGCGAGCGACATGCTGAAGACTTTCTTGGGTTCTTTTGAAGAGAATATGAAAAAACTTGCGATATTGTTTGCATGGTTCATTTATGCGCGGTACTGCGCTGGGCTCATAACCTGTTTTACTTGGTATATGAAATGGGGAACGTACACTTGCGTTTGACGGCTATGATATGATGTTTTATCGAGAGTGAATTGTAAGTGACTCTATGGATGTGTGTTCTAATTTACAGTGGGAAACACTCCCCTTTTATACCCCATGGACTCGCTTACCAGCGAATCATATGCCCATCATGCTTACTCATGCAGTGTGCCTTGCCTGAACAAATGCGCCAAACATGTCATGTGAGTTGTCCATGCCTGAGGTACCTTGATGACACACTCACCCTCCATGTGCTACCTGCCAGGGCTACCTTAGCTGAGCACAACACAAATCTGTCATAAAGTCTAAGGAGAGGTCACTGAGAAATCTTTCAGGGATTGGTAACAGCAATAACAATCCTTGTTGTCTTGTTCTTCAGACATGGGAACAGCCATGTACATCACTGTTTCTGCAGAGACAACGTACCATTATACTCATTTTAGGCCAGTAGAAGTTTCATGATATAATAGCCAGCGTACTGTTGCGACCTGGTCTCAGGGATGAGGGCTTGACAGTGTTCCACGGGGTGCGTTGTATAGCCTAGTGAAGATCTAGGTGGTAAGTGAAGATTATAAATGGGTCAAAGTGATGACAGGTCTTCTCTAGGAAGAGATGAATGGGCAACTAGTTGCAGTAGGTGTTACACATGGGTCTGGCTGATGAAGAACTGGGCAACGGATATATGGTCTTCCCGAAGAAGAGATGGGTGAACAAATGTATTGTAAAGGGTAAATAAAGAAGACGTTGCGTGAGGAGTAAATCTCTCTCACGCCGAACTATTATATACAAGAGTAGAAGCCTTTGCCAACCGGAATTAATCGTAATCAATTCTTGCCAATATCTTCACATTAATGGCTGTGTTCTTGTCCTTCTCTTCATGACTCTCTTGCATATCCTTACATGACTTTTTACACGACTAATTGTATAGGGGAAGCTATTATTAAATTGATGTCTTTAATTAACTACCCCTTCATCTTATTACGAATTAAAATTAGTATTAAAATTCTAATTACGGATCATTGAAACCTGGATGTCATATTGTGGGCGAGTCGTGACTTCTCTGTGTTAGGGCTGTCCTTAGCGGTTCCCATTCCGGAATCTACAACCTCTTTCTGAAATATAGCTCTTCCCTTTTGTCAATATGGCATTCTGTTGTGCTGGCTTGGTCGAGTTGTTAAGAGACAGGGGAGAGGAGGATGGACTGCTGGATTAGGAAAGGGTGGAAAATACAGCCTGGTACATAGACGCTGTTCGTGTACTCTACAATCTCTCGACCTCCCGGGTTTAGTGAAATAATCTATCAAAATAATATCATACTTGTCGATCGGTAATATACACGTGTACGCATCCGCAATAGATTTATCTCTGATGTGGTGATTCTTCTTCTTAGATACAGGCGTGTCAGCCTTAGGGGCGACACGCCAAGTTGCACCAATCCACGTGACTAACAATCAACATACGGGTATCTCTGTCTACAGACTCATGTACATGCCAAAATAGTGTTACAACACTGGCAAGTTTTCTTTTGAGTCTGTTTTATCCCTTAAAATAGTCTAGCAGATAAGTTCTCCTGCCCCTTGTAGCCACACTTTACATGAAGAAATTTTACCTGAGTACTAACAATTCAAAGAGGTATTTTCTGTCAAATCACTACTTCAATTTCCAAACCTCAGTCACTGGTTGCTTTATAAAGCCTTCCTAACAAATGGTCCAAGCGTTCCGGTTGTGATGGCTTGTAAGCCGATAATTACCTGTAGCCTACGCTGTCCAACGTAGGCTTAGCGTGACACTAGGCGGAGCCTATTCTCGGAAGTAGGGGCTTACAAATGGCAATATCAATATTGTATAGCTTCCGAGAATGAGGCGCAAGAGTGGGATATGAGAACGGATGTGCGCATATATCTCAAGGAGCCGTGTTATTAGTATTCCGTAGGGTACGAGTTTGGTACAAGTATGTTACAGGTGTGGAGTGTGGTGGTGATTCCTACGAGTAGGAGGTATAAATTCAGCGTTAGGTATAGGGTTCACGTAAGAAGTAAAGGTAAAATAAGTAGTAGGTGAAAAGGGTACAACAACGGCGGTCTTCTTTAGAGAAGAGATAAGTACGTGAACAATAGGTATGAGTATAAACAGAAGACATTGCGTGAAGAAGAATACTCCTTCACGCTGGGTATATATGTCTATCAGATAATAGGACAGCCCTAAGCTCTGTCTCGAGCAGTATTACTACGCAATCTCTATGAAACGACCCTATGTTCCTGAGCCTGTCCTAATTGTTTGAGAACTTGATCTAACCCCGAGTTGTGTTTTAGAATGGAACTCCCCATGAGACACCATCCTAGTTTCCGCCACGTTTATCCATGAAAATATACGGGTAAATGGGTAAAGGGGTAAACAGAAAGAAAGCCGTGTCATTGGCTGGGATAATAATCATGGATAAATTAGCTGTTATTATCATCTTCGATCTTTAGTTCACCATAGATTGAAAATAAACTACCTCTGACCATAAAGTTGCCCAAGTGCCTATGCTTAGACTGTGACACTATCAATATGTTCTACAGGAAATCCGGGATTGAAACATTTGTGTTAGACAGATTGAGTCCAACAGCAACTCTGCAGATGGATTAACAAAATCCTTTAGTGCCAATTCTTTCTGAAAATTTACTAAGCAACTAGGGTTGATGGATGGATGTTTGCTTAAGGACTGAGAGGGCGTGTAAGCAGACTTATGCACGCATAAGTCTGGACCCAGTCCAGAAGCAAAAGTGCAATCCACCAAAGCACACATTGGTCTAAAAGTGATGATCAGGGGCGTTATTAGGGTTAAAATGAGATATTACACTGCTTGTAGCACCGAAAATTAATCAATTCATTCTTGTATTTACTTTTACCTTTTGACAATTCATTTGACATTTACACAAAGATCTCTCTAAGTTTTCACTATTAAATAACAGCATTGCAACGTAATTTTTTTACTCTAACAACAATTTGTTGTATCAACAATTACTGCTCTTTGATGAAAATGATCTTGTTGCGTATAAGTTATCTTACTGTATGGCAACCAATCTTAGATCACATAAACTATAAAGGTGTACATTCAACAGGTGATTGTCCGAGGGTAGCTTGGACATCTAAAATTTTTTTATCGTTATGGAAAAAAACCTTTATCTTGTATTCATTATCTAATAGATTTAAATTTTAGTAGCTATCAGTATTATATGGAGATGAAATTGACCTACAAACAGTTTCTGGATCTATGTAATTGAAGACTGTATGATGTATGGGAGGTTCTTTACCCGGACGGCTAACATTGGAATGATTTTGAGCCATATTTGCATAGGCTCTATTGACATGGGGCTGTAGAAGAGCTGTTGAAATATATCGGCCATTACAGATATAGTCACTGATAACTTTTCCTGGAAAAATTATGACCAATACTGATGTTATTGATGCAAGAGTAATTTTCTTCATTTTTAGTGCAGTCTATTTTACATAAATAACTTGTAATTTGTTGCCTTTATTGACTTACGTCATAGATTGGATATTTTATTCTTGCTGGATTTATTAATTAAGATGTTTACACACTTCACAAGTGTCTGGTGCCTTTATGAGAAGTACTGAGCACAGATGAAATTGGGATGAGGATTTAATTTTTATATACTTATAATTTATGTTCAATTATGTTTTGAAACTAGCAGTTCCGTTAAATTAAAGATCCTCAAACTTACCAGCTGTCAAAAATAGTTCAAAATATATTAAAACACACAATCTAGATAGGATGTGGTTTCACCTTGTCGAATAAGTTATTCGTTATGCGCATAAATATTAGAATAGATTGGAAGACAAGGTAACAGCCAAGATTGCTAAACATAGGCTGGTTGATGAGAATCACACGAAAGCTTACTTGTATGTATTGTTGCGAGTAAGGGCTAAGTTTAGTTATACCCAGCCTCGCAATCTTACAAAGCTATTTTAGGCAAATTACATTTTTAACTCGACATCATTCAATTAGAATGACCTAAAATTAGTTCGATGGTCAAGTCTTTTATTTTCCTTATAATTATATTCATTTGTATATATAGATCTGTAGTTCCGGGAAAAAAGAATCAAGTTGTTTTTACTGAGTTATCTTTTTCTTCAATCTCAAATACACATCATCTGCCACAGGTGAGACACCCAGATACCTGACACACCTCAGTCAGGTAGTAGCATAGAGTCTCCATATTTTATGATTGATGACAAGATTTTTACAACCAAATTTACATTGTAATAATCCTTCAATAATTTAAGGTTTTTATTGAGATACTTGGTTACTTCACAAATCCTTCGAAAAATTAAGATACTGTAAAAAATTTTGATTGTTCAAGCAGCTTGATTAGTGCTCATAGGCAAGTGAAGCTTATAATTAAAGTTCAAAGAGAAATTATGGCAACTGAAATGTAATTGGAGTTCTACAGAGCGGCTGGTCTGACTGATCTATTCATATCAGGGCCTTGTAGTTAAGGCCAAGATCTTTTGCTTGTAATATCTATTTTAAGTTATTCTCACCAATGTTGAAATTATGGGGTACAGAGATAAGGCAGGTGATGCTTAATTGAAGTAATTGATGAAGGGTTTGGTTGTTGAGTTTTATATTATTCCTGTGTTGGGATACACTTTGTCAATCCTACTAGGCTCGATAATCAGTAGTCCCGACCGACTGGTGTTTGGCGAATGGAGATTGCGTATACCCTGTGCTAGCGTTGTTTACTGCTGTTAATAGGAGATCCCGCACGGGCTATCTATTGGGATTAAAAGGAGTCAGGTACTGATATTAAGAAGAGTAGTCAAAATGACATCCTTTTATCCTTCATTATTGCACAAGCTTCCCTCTACCAATAAGTCCATAAACTAAGTAGTGGGTTATACATTTCAATAACCAATTCTATAAACTATCCAACTTCATGGGGGGACGGAACTCAACAACCTGCCAGTGGTGTACCCTAAAATCCTCTAGCTCTCATTGTAGAGTATGCAGAAACGAGATTAAATGACATCTCCATCCTCAATTTGATGAGGATTTACCATTACTTTCGCTGTCTGTATTGTCTTCATCTCTCTGCATGATCCACGGGCACCACTATAGTCTGTTAAAGTTATAAGCTTGAGCGAAGATGGAGGTTGTAGCGGAATCAGTGTCGGCGGTTAGACCGATGCAGTAAGTCTTGTATGAGGTTGTGAGAGGAAGATCCGAGTGGAAACAATTGTATTTAGATGTATGGTTCAGAGTAAAACCGAGATGATAAGAGTGAGGTTGCGTATTTGCATATCTTATCAACTGTGGTTTTTGACCAGTATTTATCAATCTCCATGGATCGTAAGTTATGATCCATGTAGATGTAGATCTATGTACATACACATATATAGGCCAGGAATATAAAGCTAAATACATGTGTGTTGGTAATAGATACGAGAAAACTATAACCTGCATTTGAGACATAGTCATCTGCTGGAATGCTAGTGTGAAATAAACGCTAATGCGCATTAAACTTTCGGTGAATGATATATTGATAACAGTGATATAGAATGGGGAATTTGTGTGACGGCTGTTAAGCCTAAGGGTTCCTGTAGCCTACGCTGTCTAGCGCAGGCAATTATACGAAGGGAGGTTCCTGGGAAGACCTTGGATGACAGGGAACCTAGATGATTCACATTGAGCCTTGTTGAAACCTACTGAGAGTTCATGAGGGTTACAGAAGTATCAAGGATCTACAGGCGATTGTCGGAGAGTCTGAGTTGACAGGTCATAGAGAGAACCTTATCGAGGAGGGGTATTTCAGTCTGTATATATAGGTAGTCATTAAGTACAGAAATTCTCTCTTCAGAGAATTATAATTAAAATATTATACCTACAACATTGCTTATGCATTTTGTAATGAAACCGTGACATATTATAATTCTCTCATCTCTAATTCAGGATCGCTGTTAGTTCAGATATTCAGAACCTTAATCAGTTCAGTCAGTCAGTCAGTCAGTCAGTCAGTCAGTCAGTCAGTCAGTCAGCCAGTCAGTCAGCCAGTCAGTCAATCAGCCAGTCAGTCAATCAGTCAGTCAGTCAGTCACATCAGTCAATTTGGGGGCAAAGATAAAATGGGATCATTGCAGTATTACCATGGAGAGAAAAAAAGTTGTCTTAGGGCAACATGGAAATCAGAGGACCAGCTGGAGAAGCTTCGGAAAGAAGGAAGTTGCTTCAGATGTGAGGAACAGGGATGTATGTCTAGGATGTGCCATCGTCTTCCAGCAATTAACCCACAAAGAGCGAAGAAAAGTTTACCTATAGATCCAGCAATGTACGAAGTGGATCCATATGGCGATGGTCTAGGCCCTATTGATCCAACGATGTACGAGGTGGATCCTTATAGCATTTCCCAAAATCTCATAAGTCCTAATAAAGAAATTCGGCATACGAGAGATCGAAGAGATAGAATAGGTTGGTCAACCCAGAGGCCTATCATGAGGAGCTCTCTTACGAATCATGAAACGAGGACGACCATATCACCACTTCTTGTTAATGCAATGACCAGTAACAGACCGCTCAGAAGAGAAAGAAGACGTTCCCAATCAACCCCATCATTTGAGAAGAAGGATATCTATGTCAACGAAATTGTGCATGATAACGAGTACCCTCGCTCCAAAAGGGAAGATTTTGTAGAGCCGATAATATTGGATGAAAAAGTTTCAGAAATGACGACAGTAGCTGAACAGGAGCCAAAGATGAACACAAATCCATTTCTAGTCAATGCATTAGTTAACGACGTCACAATGGTGCAAGCCTTAATCGACAATGGATGTCTTTGTTCAGGTATCATTGATGAAGAATTCGCAGCTCTACTGAGTTTACCGTGCAAACCTATTTCTCCCCGAACCCTTCAGACAGCAGAAAATTCATCAGAACTCAAACCAATTGTGAGAAGCATCACTTGGGTCTCTACAGACCTCGATGGCTATCTTACTGAGAAGTTGTGGCTGTATGTAGTACCGCACAGTACACATCAAATGATACTAGGGAAGAAATGGTTAGAAGATCAGGATGCAGTAATCCACTCCAAAGAGCAGCGACTGGAACTTAGGAAGAGTGGTGGCTCTGTTTATAGTGCTCGGCGCTGGCGTCACAATTTGAAGGGAATAAAGGAGCCGGAATGTTCTCCTTTTGAAGCCTTATCTTTTATGGAGAAGGAGGTCCCCGTATTCAAAGCTTCTTTAGACGACATAAATAAGGCACTCCGTACGAAGCCTTGCCTCAAGATCTCCGAAGCTCAAGACCGACTGCCAGGCCCTGTAAAAAATTTTGCGCGCCTTTTTTCTGATGATAGCGGGGCTAACGATCTCCCGCAAACTCGAGGTCATCTAGACCATGCTATAAACCTTCTAAGTGAAGATGGGAAGCCAGTCCAACTGCCTTGGGGCCCTCTGTACAGTATGTCGAGGGAAGAGCTTCTAGTGTTGCGCAAGACATTAACAGAACTTCTGGGTAAGGGATGGATTAGACCCAGTAGTTCGCCAGCAGCATCGCCCGTGTTATTTGCCAGAAAGCCAAATGGAGGGCTACGATTTTGTGTGGATTATCGGGGGCTAAATGCGATTACCCTTCCAGACCGGTATCCACTTCCTTTATTTAAAGAAACTTTGCGACAACTTTCAAAGGCTAGGTGGTTCACGAAACTAGATGTGAAGTCAGCTTTCCATCGTATTAGAATCAGAGAGGGAGATGAATGGATGACCGCCTTCAGGTGTCGCCATGGTCTTTTTGAGTGGCTTGTTACACCATTTGGCCTTGCAAACGCACCTGCAACATTCCAGAGATATATTAATGAGCAGCTCCGAGGACACCTTGATATTGATGCGACGGCATACATGGACGATATACTAGTATACACGAATGGAAGTGAGGATGATCACTGGAGAACAGTCCAAAGTATCTTGGGAAGGCTAGAGAAGGCTGGCTTGTACTTGGATCTTGATAAATGCGATTTTCTGTGTCGAGAAGTAAAGTATCTAGGATATATTGTGAGGGCTGGGGATTCAGTGACTGTGGACCCTGCTAAGGTTAAAAGTATTATAGAGTGGAAGGCACCCACATCGGTGAAAGGAGTTCGTTCGTTTCTAGGATTTGCAAATTTTTACCGATGCTTTGTTGATAGATTTTCGGAGTTAACTGCACCTCTGACCAATTTGACAAAAAAGGATTCGGTTTGGAAATGGGGACCAGAAGAAAACGAAGCATTCGAACGATTGAAAGATATTTTCTCTACCGAGCCGGTGCTAGCGCAATGGGATCCCGAGCGGGACACAGTGATGGAAGCTGATTGTTCTGGTTACGCATTAGGTGGTTGTTTATTGCAAGCAGACATGCATGACTGTCTGAAACCGGTAGCTTACTTTTCAAAGCGGCTGAGTGGTGCTGAGGCAAATTACCCAATTCACGATAA